GAGACAAGGAAATACCAGGGAGCAGTGGAGAAATGAGGGAGAGAAGGGCAGTCAATAAAGGATATGTTTGAATATAGTGATCACTGTGGGCAACTGCAGCTTACTCCTACAGGGGAACCTGGGGAAGTGATTCTCAATATTACGCAAAATGTGGTATGTGACAGTACTAGACCTTGAACAACATATTTGAGACTAGTGCAGGACAAAGAACATATAAGAAGTAAAATTAAATACTTAGAAACTTTTATAACAATTTGACATTTTTGTAATATCCATTTTTCTAATAATTCATTTTATTTTATTTTTTTAAAGTACCAATCCATGATAGACTAAAAATAAAAAACTGGTCCAAAAATAGTTTGAGAAGCACTAGTGTAGAACACAAGGCCCAAAGTGATTCCATACAAGGAGCAAGAGAGCTGGGGTATTTATACCTCATTTCCCATCAAGTCAGCCCTTAGTTGAGACAGCATCCAGGAATGTTCATCCCCCAGCACTTCTGGCTGTGTGGAATGAAGTGGTGTACCTGGAGAGACACAGGAAAATTAACAATAGCATCTGCTACAGATTTGGTCAATAAAGAATTTCTCAAAGCTAAGAAATTAATTCAAATATCATCACATCTCTATAATCCTTCTGATAATGAGTTAAAGGCTAAATAAGCATTAATTTGCTACATGCTGTAGAAGGATAACAAAAAGCTAGGATTAGACTATGCACAGATAAAATGTTTCATTCAAAAGTACCCATGAAAATAACTGACTGCCAATCAAAGCATTGGTCAGTGGGCAGGGTAGCTAAATTAAAGCTGCATCATTACTGAAAATCCAACTGCAATGCAAAGTAGTGACCTGTAGAAGTCAGGATACAGGAGTAATGAGCATTTGTCACTTTACAGGGTTCCCTTCAACAACCTAAGACAATTTTGTGTCATCTTATTGGGGAATAGTATTATATTTTCCCCTGAGGAAGCCAAAGGCAAGAGCTCCTCCTCCCCTCCTTCCACCCCCAGAAAGCCAGGGCACTAGCATGTGATTAAGTTCTGAAAATCAGACATTCCCAACCAGGTTTCTGAATCTTGAGCAAGCGGTCCAAAGATGAGGGGATGATTAGAAAGCATTCTTGTTTGCTCGACACTTACTGCTACTGCTTATGCCTTCCTTGGTTTCTGTCATTATTCAATCCTGGTCTCTCAGCCTCCTGCTGATTCTGTGAGCTCCCAATTTCCTTCCAATAATTTCCTTTTTTTACTCATGGCAGTCACCATCTGACTCTGTTACTTGAAATCAAAAGTCATCACTAATATGAGGTGATGGAGAAGAATCAGAGTTCTGATTCATGCCTGCTCAGTAATTCTCTTGAAGAAGTGAGGTCAGTCTCCTCACCAAGGTGGTTCTTAGTTTCCACATTTGTAAAATAGGATTAGTTCAGCAGTGTGCTTATGGAAAATTAGTCTGTGAGATGTTCTCTGAATAAAGGGTTCTTCCTTTGGAAAATCCAATTGCATGTTGGCCTATTTAAGTTTTTGGAAAATCCTCCAGCAAAGGATTTAACTTAACTTTAACCCAGCATTTCCCAAACTTAATCATGGAAGTCTTGTTTCTGAAAACATTAACATCTCATAGAGTTAATCATCCATAGAATACCCTGGGAAGAGACATTGGCTCCAGCAGTTCATGTTTCTTAACTTTGCACCTGACACTGGAGTTTGTCAATAAGCACACAAGAGGCCTTTGAGGAGTCTCTGTATTAATCCACTATGGCAGGAATTCTTAAGCCTCAGTTTATAAAGAACAATTTGAGGAGCTTGTAATAATGCATACTGTTGGGCATCACACCATATCTAACAAATTCAAAATCTCCTACAATAGAACTAAGGAATCACTCTACACGTGATCATGTTGCAGGCAGTCTTCAGTCCACCGTATGAGGAATACAACCTTATGTGATATTTCAGTGAAAAGTACCTTCCAGCGGCTTATGTTCTTTATCATTGGAAGAAGTCAGAAGTCATGGTCACAATAATCCATCCCACTGGATGGACTATTCATCATCTCCTAAGAGCTGTAGATGAAGCAAGCTCATAGACAACTTGTGAACATCTGCTTAAAACCTATTGACTATCTCTGATTCCAACTTCAGAAAGATATAATATTAAAACGTGAACGTGGTTTTAGCTGTAACTCAGGTCAGTAAGGTCAATAATTTGGACAAGATCTAGTTAAAGGCCGAATGCACGCTGAAAGGAGCAGTCTCTCAGATGTCTCTCACTCCTGCTGTCTATAGCTTATTCACACCATAAACTGAATCAGTGAGAAATCAAGGTTAAAGGAGTAGGGAAGAAACTTAATTCATCGAATTTTATGACGTATTAGCAACTAAAAGAATCTGAAGATAGGATGGCTGGAATGAATAGCTAAAATGTGATTTTTAGACTATCTAAATTTCATTTGCTCTCATTACCACAAATGATGAAAAATTAGCAGTCAGAAATTTCAAAGCAAGACAGCAGAACATGATAGAAACAGAAATTAATTAAGTCACCATCTTGAGGAACATTTTTTTCCCTGTTAGAATTCTTTAGGAAATATGATGAAGATAAGGATACTACATTTCTTCACAATATCCTATAGATTTTCTTACAGGAAAAAGGATGAGTTGTGGTGACCAATGACATTTATTGGAAAGAAGCAAACTTTTTGTTCCTGGGCCACTAGTTATGTTTATTGTAAGAAAACCCTACAGATTATTTGCAGGCTCAAGAGAATTCACTTTTATCTTTATAGCCCAAACTGTACAGATAACTTATTTGTAAATAACTTGCAAGGATCATGGTTTCACAGCTGAGATATTCTGTCCTATTTTATTTTGATAACCATAATTATAACCTCTTTACAACTGGGAAGTGGTGATAAATGGCACCGTGCTTCTTCTTCAACAACTCCATAAAACTGGCATCTGACATATATTTGCATGAGCTTCATATAATAAAACGCAGAAGTCGTTCTTTCTAAAGGGCTTCAAAATTTCCTGTAACAGATTTACAAGCTTTGTTTTATTCTTCTTACTACACAGTTGTTTCAGCTTAATATATAGGACATATTGACATCTAACAATATAGAGTTAAAAAATTAGTGCATACCTCATCAATTTCATAAAATTACATCCATTATTATTTGCATAAACTTTTATTTAATTCTGTAATTGTCCATTACATTTCCAACATCAAGAGTTAGATTAAAAAATATGTCATGTAACTCTGATGTGATAGTCATTTTACAATATAGAGTGCACTAACACATCCTTACAGGAATTATGGATTGACAGTTTTCTTTATTGCGGCACAGCACTGTCTCAAGGGTGGCTGCCTTCCTTAGGAATGTGAAATGATTTCTGGAAAATACACGTTGTCCCACTGAAGAGTCATTAACTAGAGCTTGAATATGTCCCTTTTTTGTTCAAATTTCAAGTTCTCATCCCCATCCTAGCCACTTTCATGTCTTTCCTTTAAGACCACCGAAAGCAAAATTATAGCTGTTCAAATTTGGAACTGAGGAAAGAAAATAAGTAATGAAGCTGAGCTGGATTTAGTTCTACCTATTTAGAGTACATTGCCTATAGTGGAATTGTGTTTACAAGTATCAGTTTTTCAAGTTTGGATCATTCATTTGGTCTCTCAAAAGAACCTGCTTTAGGGGGCTGGCCCCGTGGCACAAGCAGTTAAGTGCGCGCTCTCCGCTGCGGCGGCCCTGGGTTCGCCAGCCCGGATCCCGGGCACGCACCGATGCACCGCTTGTCAAGCCATGCTGTGGCGGCGTCCCATATAAGGCAGAGGAAGATGGGCATGAATGTTAGCCCAGGGCCAGTCTTCCTCAGCAAAAAAGAAGAGGATTGGCAGATGTTAGCTCAGGGCCAATCTTCCTCACAAAAAGATAAAAAAAAGGACCTGCTTTATAGATTCAGGGCCCTTGTAATTTTAATTTTCCAACTGGGTTCCTGGTTTACTTGGTTAATTCTGTGGGCCTCAATGTGCAGTCCACACCTGAAAAGGGGGAGTTTTCAATGCTGTGGTTTATTAACCAGGTACTTTCCATTCACTCAGTGAACAATTAGAAAACAGAAAGAAAAAAGAGAGAAAGAGAGAAAGCCTCCTACTTGTTTTTTTACCCTAAATATGGAGATGGAAACTATTGAACAAATAAGAAGGAGGGAAACTCCCGCATATTTCACCTTGACCTGGCTGGACTGCTCTGATGCCTGTAAGTGCTCTATGGAAGACGTCGGGCAGGCTGCTAGTGGAAAAATGAGAGTTCAGACTTGAGCAAGGGGAACCACTCCTGCCCCTAGAGGAAAAAGAGAACCATCACCCTGTGTCTCAGATTGGAAACTGCCTTGCTTTCAATTTGGGGGACTGGGTTCCCTCCTTCGGCCTAGCGTGGTAGTGACAGGACCCAAAGAGGCGCACGGCTTTCCCGACAGTCGCCCAGAAAAACACCAGCTCCCAGACTGCACCGAAATTTCTGAGCTGCAAGCAAGCAGAAATGCTCTCCCACCTCCTCTCCTGAGCTTCTCTCTCCTACTTCGCCGCCCTTTGTAACTTCTTTGTTCCGTTTATTGGGAAGGTGACGCTTAAGGTCAAAAGACCCACTGTAACTAGCAAAAGTCCAGAGCCACCACTTGCTGGGAAGAGCAGGCAGGCTATCCAACCCAAGGCTTTTCCAGGCTACGAGTCGAGAAAGGGCCGCGAGAAATTTCGGCCAGCAGCTCCGGGTACACCTCCGTGTACCGGTCCAACTCTCCAAGGGTTGGGGAGACGCCGGACTGTCTTGGGGTGGGGCAAAGGGTGAGCTCCTCACTCTGCAAGCAAAATGGGCAGTGCGCACCCGCGGAACGTAGGGTGTTGGGGGCGGGGAGAGGCCCGCGGACTCCACTTTGTATGTGGCAGCTGCCAGGCAGTGAGACTCTCCGAACAAAGGAGCGCGCAGCGCCTGGGTGAGAGGCTGGGGTTTGCGCACAGCTGCCACTCATGCTGAGCGAGACTCCGCACCCGCTAGGCGAGCGTTGGGGTGCAAGGATTGGGGAAGGAGGGGGAAAGGGAACAGGCCATGCGATTCCTGTTGCGCGGCTACGCATGACGAGTTCTTGTGAACGATGGGAATGGCAACTATCAGAGCTAAGGGGGAGAAAAAGAGCTGGAGTGAGCAAAACAAAGAGCGAGTGTGGGCCGCGGTGACTTCATGCCTCACCAATGTCCCGCCCACGCTGCTTCGAGCTGTTGCTGCTGCTGCCGCCGGAGCCTCCGCCGCGCCTGCGGGCGGCCGGGGCGAGGCGCTCGGTAGCGTGGGGCGGTTTCCTAGCAACTCGCGGCCCCGAGCGCGCGTAGCTATGTGCACATCGGGAGCCACCCCCGTGGGCCGGGGCAGGACCACTCCTCCCCCGCCCCTCGCCAGCCTCGTCTCCCTCGCATCCTCGCCGGGTGCACCCCAGAGCGCGCCAGCTGCCCGGGCTCTGGACGGCGGGACGCCTGAGCCGCACACTGGGGCCAAAAGGCGAGGGCACGAAGCTCCCGCCCCGCGAGGCCGGGCTCCTGCACCCCCGCAGAACCTCCCCTCCTGCGCTCGCGGCGGTGCGCTCCACCCCCGGCCAAGCAGGGAGCTGCGATGCCTCGCTCTGTGTCCGCGGGCGCCGGCGGGGGCTTCTAAGGCGCTCCCGGAGCCGCCTCCCCCGGCCGCTGGCACCCGGAGCTTCCTCCCTCGCCAGCCAGGACGCTGCCGCTTCGATTTTGCCCGCTGCTCGGCTGACGAGGTTGCAAAGCTGCAACTAAGTGGAGTTGGCCTCCCTGCCCACCTGTGGAAGAAGCTCGCGCTGATTGATGCGCCATCGACTTTTTTCCCCTTCGGCCTCGCCGGCGTCCCCTCCCACAGATGCAGCATCACCCAGTGAATGTACATTAGGCTGGTTTTTCCCCCCAGCTTCAGGCTTTGTTTGGGTTTGATTGTGTTTGGTTCTTCGCTAAGCTGATTTATGCAGCAGAAGCCCCATCGGCTGGAGAGAAACAAAAGCTCTTTTCTTTGTCCCAGAGCGGGCTGCAGAGCCTTCGCTCGCGTCGCCGCCCCGGGCCATTGGCCGTCGGAGGAGGTGCTTCGCGCGGAGATCGCGGGACCCGCCGTGCTGAGCTGGGAGGGCCGCGGGGGCCCTGACATGCCGAGCGGTGCCCGGGCCAGCGTACCTGCACCGCTTGCTTCGAGCCGCGGGGTCCGCCTGCCGGGCCTGCGGGAAACGTCCTAGCGACACTTGGCCCGCGTGCCCCGAGGTGCGCCCGGGAGGCGCAAGCGCGCATCCGGAGAGCAGCCAGGCAGCGGGCGCGGTGCTGGCTGCTTTGCATTATGTGCCGCCCGGCCCTGGCTTTTTTTACTGCCGCATTTGTCTGCCTGCAAAACTGCCGGCCAGGTCCTGCCCCATTCCTCCGGGCGGCCTGGGTGTTTTCAGTTGCTCTTGGACTGGGCCAAAGTGGTAAGTTGTTTTGCTTTCCTTTGTTTTCTCCTCTTACCCAAACGTCTTGGGCTGTCACAAAGAGCATCCAGGCCAGGTAAGGGGCCCGGTGTCAGCCTCCATCTGCTTTGAGAACTTCATAAGGGGGTGTGTGGCAGCGTTCTCCATTGCAGGCGGCCTGAGGGAGGCCAGGTGTCAAACATTTCCGCCCCGGAGTGACAGCAATAACCAATTATACAAGGAGACACTGTGTATTGCTCCCGTGTGTTGGGGAAGCAGTAATAGAATGGAAGTTTGGAAGAGTATTTACAGAAGCCAATTTAGGGGTTCTGCTCCATCCTTGAAGGCATCCTCCTTGAAGACATCCTTGAAGATGCTCCCCATCTTTCTAGTATTGGTGGGTCCATTAACCACTAGCTTGCATTTGATTCAAGGCTGAAGATAAATTGGTATAATAGGAGTGAGTCTTCTGTTTTTGAAGAAAACTATGAAAGAAAAGGATGGCAGCATACAAATTTGTTCTATGATGGTCCTCAGCCTGAATGAATTAAAAACACTTGAGGAATATTCTTGCTTTAAGTCACCATTTTTTCAGCTTAAAAGAAAAATTCTAGCTAATTGATCCCTCAGTGAGATCAATTCCTGGGACTGAGACCCTGAAACAGAACCCTGGACCAGGATTGACAGCTTTCAGTCCAGATAAGCCACTTCTGTCAGAATTACCTGGATTTGGAGAGCATACTTATTTATAAAGTATATTGTCCTCATATTACAAATGAGGATAATAATACCTGCCTAAATCACAAAGAAAAGCTCAGGTCAAATAGTGTATGAAAAAGGTGTTTTGGCACATCTGAATTATATGCAAATATAAGGTGGCAGTACGGGATTGTTAGCAAACGGTAAAACATATAGTAAGTAATAGTAATAATCATCAATTTAGGATGAATTCTTATCGGTTTTAAATATAGGCCATACATTTATTTTTGCCAATGCAATGATTATTGCCATACTTTTTTTTTTAATTTTACTCTATGTTTGGTCATTGAGCCCTTAAATTCTATTAGAGCCTTTCTCTGACCTCTCCTGTTGAAGAACAGATGTAATTGTTTGTAGACTAAAATTTTATCCTATGCTTTGAATTGATGTGCCAAGTTTCTGCCCAAAGCTAATTAAAATGGTCAAGTCATAACCTTTTAAATAAGGGTTTATAATGGAAACATCCAGTTAGCTTCACTTATTTGTTGTATATATAGTTGTCTAATCTTTATTTCAAAAAGAGATTTACCCAGTTATGTGAAATGAGAGCAATTAGAGTAAATTTTTATCTTGTGGTTATTTTTTGGCTTATATGTTGCTTTCAAAACAAGTGAAACGTAAGGCAAAGGAAAAAAGTAACATTCATTATCAATTTTCTTAAGTGGAATACCCATTTGTTGCAGCAGATTTTCCACTGAGCATAATTCCATCCAGTATCAATAAGTGACAAAGTATTTTTCTAGATTTAGTAAACACATATACAATAGTAAAATAACCAAAACTTGTGCCAACAGAGTATATTTTGTCCCCAATACATAGGCAAAGGAAAAAAATCCTACTTGCCTCTAGAATTTGCTAATAATAGTAATAATTTTTTAATATTCATTGTGCTTGTAAAGATTTGTCAAGTTCTCGTGTAATAGCATTGTATTTCCATCCAGTGAGTATAATTGATTTGAAGCAAATATTATGAATGGGCTCCCTTGCACCTGCAGTTGTGAAAAGGGAATGCTTATCCGAAATCAGAACAAGGCATCCTTTTCCCAGTCTCTGTCAATATACAAAGGTTTCTGATGTACACTGGTTTGCATTGCAGTTAAAAAACATGCAAAAAATTTAAATTATAGCCAGTGCAACTCAGAAAATTAGAGATCAGCATAAACTGTTATACTTTTGTGATATAGCTACAAGTCTCAAATTATATGTCTTCACAGTGCAAATTAGATGCTTAAAGCAGAATAGAAATTTAGGTATCAGTTACAAAAGAAATCTTGTTCTCTTGCTCACTAGTTTACACCAAGGAAATGTTGAGGGCAATAAAGCTATACAAAAGAAACCATAAACTGCACAACAACATAACTTTGGGTTTAATTTTTGAAGTAGAATTTGTAGGTCCCAAATACATAGTGGATTTTTAATAATAAATATGTAGTGAGCATGGGGGATATTATTAATAAAAACTGAAAATTTTTATGATCTAGAAAAAAAAATTATTGGAGTTTGTTTTTCAACTTTCCCTAGTGGAAATTACCAACAATTAGAGAAACAATAACACTATAAAATGGTTAATGAGTAACTGGAAAACACTAAAGACTACCTAATGGTTAATATTTGAAGAGTTAATTTAGCAACACTGTTGTTTCTACATTTCCTAGTTTTGAAGGGTTAAAAATCTTTTTTACCTAAATTTTTATATAGCAATATGAGAAATTTTTTTTAAAAAAGTGGTAATTGTTATTGCAGTGAAATTTCACCTTCTGTGCATAATGAACTATTTATTCTTTTAAATAACAATCAACTGAATTAGCATTGTTTTGTAACTGTAGTAGTACTTTACCGCAGAACATATTTCATAGCATAAGTGTTCTCAGGTTTCTTTCTGCTTACCTAAAGTGAGACAACAAAGCCTTCATTTTTAAAAATCCAGTCTTCCAAATTATTTGCACAATAAGCATCCAAATTAATTCTATCCTAAAGCAACTGAGACACTTTCTGATAAAAAAGTTGGAGCTTATATGAAAAATCTATGTGCTGTATATGAAAGCAAAGTAGTTGATATGATTTGAAAAATGCCAGAAAAATTCCTGTGCCCCCAAATAGCCCCTTCACCTGTTACCAAATTATCTGAAATTTCACCATTTAATGGATTTCTTTGGATTAAGCATGATATTGAAACTATGTTTCTTTTAATTTTTAACTTTATATTGTGGAAATTTTCAAACACATACAGAAATAGAGAGAATGGTATAAGGAATCGCCATACACCCATCACCCAGCTTGATCAATTATCAACTAAAGGCCAACTTTCATCTCTTCCCCTACCCAGTTCATCTTCTCCCCCAAATAGATTATTTTGAAGCAAATCTCTCATATCATTTTATCCTAAAATATTTCAGTATCAAAATACTACTGGAGGAGAAACACAGTCATTAATCCCACAACATGAATGTTTTTAGCTGAAATTTAGGGCCACAAGAATGTTCACTGTCTTTAAAGGGAGGAAAGCGAGGGAGGCATGCAAAGACAAAGACAATTTCAACCATTTACTTTTCAATGGTTCTACTATGGCTCCATTAAAAATATTTTTCTTAAAAGTATGCATATGTAACAGCTTTTTTGTATGCATGTATATGAAGAAGAAAAAATAACATGAATAAAAATAAAAAATAACATGAATAAATCTACTTCCCCAGACAAACTTGAATTACTTTATCCCAATGGAATCACAGCAGGTATACCTTGTTTGAGTTTCAGTTTTAAGGATTATTCCCTCTGGCTATTGAATCAGCAGTTTTTCTCCTCTCTACTGGATCATTTATAGCATACGCATATCCATACATCCTGTAATATCTTTCATCTTCTATTTCTCAATCTCCTTTGTAGCAAAAATCCTTGAAAGAGTTGTCCATCTGTGCTATCTCCAGGTCTCCTCACCTTCTCTTTGATTCCACTGAGGTCAGGCTTTCTTTATCACCTCTGCAGTTATACCACTCTGTTAAGATCACAGTGACCTCCCTATTGCCAAATCCGATAGCCTATAGTTCATAGTCTTCATCCTGCTTGACCTATCATCTGTCAATGAGTTAACACTATTCAAAATACTTCTTTCCTTGGCTTCCTGGACCCACATTCTCTTGGTTTAAGCTCCTTCTCCATCTCTGATGTTGGTTCTTCCTCATGTCCCAACATCCAAATGTAGGAGTGGCCCAGGACTGAGTCCTCAGACTTTCTCTTCTGGATATGTACTGCGTCCTCAGGTGGACTGATCCAGTCTTAAGTCTTAAATACCATTCTATGCTGACAACCCCAGTCCTGACCTCTTATCTCATCTCTATAGGGTATAGCAAACTGCCTATTCAGCATCTCCAGTGTACATCTACAGGCAAAATCAACCCTAACATATTCAAAACCAAACTTCCAATTTTCTCCCTTAAGCTTGCTCCTTTCACACTCATGCTCATCTCAGTAAGTGGTAATCAGTCTTCTAGTAGTTCAGAGTAACATTTGGGCAGCATTCTTGACTTCTCTGTTTCTCTCACGTTCGACAGTCAGTTTACCACCTCCACTGCCGCCACTCTGGTCTATGCCATTTTTTGCTTGAACTCTTGAATCCCTATTGAACTGGCTTCTTTGCTCCATGGTGCAGCCAGACTTACCTTTTTAAAAAGCTCCTCAGGTTCTGTCACCCCTCCACTCAGAACTCTACATGGCGTTTCATCTGTCTCAGATGGAAGGCCAAGTCTTTACATGGCTTCCAAGGTCCGTCTGACTTCCTGACCTTACCCCCTTACCCTCTTTCCCTCCCTCCCTTTGTCCCAGCAACACTGGTCCTTGCTATACCTTGGATGCACCAAGCATGATCCTACCTCCAATCATGAACTCACTGTTTCTCTGCATGGATTGTGCTTCCCTGAGATATCTTGTTGATTCCCTCGCCCTCATTTCTTCCAGATGTCTATTCAAATATCATCTTATCAGAGAGGGTGTTTCTGTCCTCCTCATCAACACTATCTAGCCCACTTACCCTGCATCTTTTTCTTTTATATACCTTAGCATCCCTGATCTATTATGTATTTGTTTGTTTACTGCCTTTCTCTCTTAGTCCCAACCTAGCAACTAGATTGCAGCTCATGAGGGAAGGTACTTTATGCTCTTTCCGGCTATGGAAATGCCAGCTATGTAAAAGGTGCTCAGTACACATATGTTGATGAATAAAAGAAAAAATAAGTAAATTTATTCTTAATTTTGTCATCAGATTGATT